TTTCATGCCCCCTCCTCGCCCCACACACGGGTGAGAGCCTGGTCCGGTGAGAACCCGGCGTGCTCCGTCCTGGCTTTATAGAGATGCGAGGTCAATGGTCAAACGACTACGGCATGCACGAGTACGAGTACCCCCCCCCCCCACCGNAACGATTGGCCATCGGTGATCGGTCCTGTGGGAACAATGCTCTGTCCTCTCGAGGACGCGTGGTCAATGGTCTAACCGCTAAGGCATGCAAAACATAAGAGTACGCCCCGCCCCCTCCCCCCCTCTCCTCCGCGCCTTCGGCTTCTTACGTCCCTTCCTTTCCACCTCCTTCTCCTCCACGGAACTCTTCACTACAATGCCCTTCTTTTTGCTCTCCTGGTTGATTGATTGCCGTCATCGCTCTGCCGTCTGTACGCTGCTCTGGTGCCCAGGTGACGGTGCTCGGGCTTGTGGCGCTGTGGTTCAGACAGGTGCGGGAGGCGGAGCTGGCGAGCGGGGAGGCGACGGAGTCGGTCGGCCTTCCCGACAAGAGCAAGCTGTTCGAGGCCCTGCAGCGACTGCCCATCAGCTTCGGCATGGCCATGAGGGTAAAGGGGCGTTCTTGTTTCGATTTTACCACCTCTTGTTCTCGTTTCTCGTCGCTTGTTAATGTTCTTGTTCTGGCTGTGGTTGCTATGTGTGTGTCTCGCGTTTCCCGAGATATGCATAGGGCGGGACGGGTTGTTCCCCGCCCACGATGCAAGCATCGTTGTCGTCGTTGTGGGACCGATAGTTCGTCACTTCGTGTTCTTCTCTTTTCCCCGCGTACGTGATATCCGACGATTTGGACAGGTTCGCCAGCAGTGCAAGTTGGTGGCGGAAAAGCTGGCGGACAAGAAGCACATCTTCGTGCTGGGAAAGGGCTATGGGGAACCCGTGGCATATGAGGTACTATTACAGCAGTCTTACTGTAGTGGCGCCGTTCCCATGGCGGTTGCCTTTGCTCGCTGCTTTTTTGGACTCAGAATCGGACAGGAGTTCGTCCCATTGTCGACCGTACACACACGCAACCACGCGCTGCCAACCCGGAAGGGGGACAAAACGGTCCCCAGCTTGTCTCGTGTGATAGAATGATCACGAGAATCTCTCTAGAACTATCCGGAGGACGACAGTACCCCCAAACCCCGAATATACACGCCGGGCCGGGTGTGTGATGTGAACGGCAGTCCTGTTATTTCGATCGTGCCTACTTCAGTGCTGCCCTGCCCCTCTGTTCTCTCCCACCTTCTGTTGGCCAAGATGTGTGTCATCGTGTTGCACGACAACGTTGTGTTTTCGCTCTCTCTCTCTCTCTCTCTCTCTCTCTCTCTCTCT